AGGCAATTCACTCGCGGGAGAGCCCTGGGAAAGCACAGGAAGGGACAAGTGACCCCAGAGCAGTGCCAGGGCTGGGCCATAGACCTCCCAGGCACAGTCACGGTTCTGCATATAACCATTTATTATTTAACTTTATTAATTACTATTATTATTTTCCAGCTTGATCAGAGAGAGAGAGAGAGGGAAAGTGAGAAAGCAAGCCACCAGCCTGGGACTCGAACCATGGTCAGCCATGTGGGAGTTCAGTGCCTTTAGCCACCGCACAACCTGCTGGTCCTTTCCATATAGCATTTGACTCCCCCCAAACCTAACTATTGATAGCCCCATATTGACCAGAAACCTTACAGTCAATTAATACATATTTTGCGTATGTGTTAGATACTGTATTCTTAAAATAAAGAAAGCTAGAGAAAAGAAAATGTTAAGAAAAGCATAAGCTGGATGTGATGGTGCATGCCTGTGGTTCCAGCTACTCAGAAGGCTGAAGCATGAGGCTCATAACACAGCCACATCCTGTTCAAAAACAAGTAAGTGGTATGGTGGTTAAGGCACCGGACTCCCACATGGCTAACCACGGTTCAAGTCCCAGACCTCCATGGAGGCTTTCTTTCTCACACTTTCTCACTCTCTCTCTCTTTCTGGTCACATTAAAAAAGAGTAATAATAACAATAAATTAAATAATTATTTTTTACAAAAGAAAGCCTGGGCCAGCAGGTGGTTTAGTGGTTAAGGTGCTGGACTTTCACATGGCTGACTGCAATCTGAGTCCCAGACCCAGCAGCTTGAAAATCACACCTGGCACATGTGCATGCATGCTCAAAATCCCAAGAGAATGGAGAAGGGATTGTGGCATGGCAGCCCCTTGGGGGTGATTTCTTAGTTTCCCCTTCTGTCTTTCTCTGTCTCTCTTCAGCAAGCACACGCTCTAAGATGAAAACCTAAAAAAAAATAAATAAGTCATGGGTAGAAAACACATTTATAGTACTACACTACATTTATTAATACCATAAGTTTAAGTTGTCTGTTTAAGATCAGTCTCCTGGGGGCCAGCAGGTGGCATGGTGGTTAAGGTGCTGGACATTCCCACATGGCCCACCATGGTTTAAGTCCTGGACCTGGTGGCTTGCTTTCTCACTTTCCCTCTTTCTCTGTGTCTCTTGGGTTAAAAACAAATGAATGAATAAATAAAATTAAATAGACAATTAAAAAAAGAATTTTTTTAAAAAAGCAGTTTTCTGTGAGTGCCCACATCAATATTGTCTTATACAAGACACTACAGATATTATATGTATTACTGACACTAAACATAGAAACTAAAAAGATAATGTGAAAAATAAATTCTTGGGATCAGCGGGTGGCATGGTGGTTGGGGCACTAGACTACCACATGGCTGACCACATATAAGTCCCAGATCTGGCAGCTGGCTTTCTTATTTTCTCGCTCCCTCTCTCTCTTTTGTGAGCACATGGGCCCGATAGCAAATTTAGAAATAAACAAATAAAACTAAATAAATTATCCCTTTTTTTTAGAATTATTTATTTAATTTTATTTATCTATAGAGAGATTTTTGCTAGGGCATGTGTGTTCGCCAGAGAGACAGAGAGACAGTGAGAAATCACTCCCTGGGGAGATGGCCATATCACAATCCCTTCTCCATTCTCCTCTCGAGATTTTGGACATGCATGCACCCATGCCTGCTATGAGTTTTAAGCCACCAAGTCCAGGACTCGAACCACAGTCAACTACACGGGAGTGCAGCAATGTAACCATTACACCATCTGCTGGTCCCAATTATTTGATTACTGAAAGGGAAAGTGAGAAAGCAGGCTACCAGACCTGGGATTTGAACTATAGTCAGACACAGGAGAGTCCCGTGCTTCAGTCACACCACCTGCCAGCCCAATAAGTAATTCTTTTAGAGAGAATTTTTTTTGTCTTTTTTTTTTTTTTTTTGCTATAGGGCACATGCACTCGTCAGAAAGACAGAGAGAGACAGAAAGTGAGAAATCACCCTCCAGGGGGATGGCCATGCCATAATCCCTTCTCCTCCATTCTCCTCTCGGGATATTGCGCATGCACGCACACACCTGGCATGAGTTTAAGCCACTAGGTCCGGGACTTGAACCACGGTCGAATATATGGGAATCTAACGACATAGCCATTACACCAACTACTGGTCCCTAGAGAGATTTTTGCTATAGGGCACGTGTGCTCACCGGAGAGACAGAGAGACAGAAAGCGAGAAATCACCCCCCGGGGAGATGGCTATGCCACAATCCCTTCTCTATTCTCTCAGGACTTTGGGCATGCATGCACATGCGCCCAGTGTGTCCCACCGGGTCTGGGATGCGAACCACAGTTGACTATGTGGGAGTCCAGTGATGTAACTAAGCATTATGCAATCTGCTAGTCCCTATAAGTAATTCTTTAAAAAAATAAATAAATAAAAGAAGAAACTATTTTTTTTTGGGGGGGGGGGTAGAGGATTTTGCCTCAAGGCACGTGTGCTCACCAGAGAGAGAGACAGAAATGATGAGATGGAAAGTGAGAAATCACCCCCCAGTGGGGATGGCCACGCTGGGATCCCTTCTCCATGGGAATCCTCCTGAGATCTTGGGCACACACACATGCCAGGTGTGAGTTTCAAGCCACTGAGTCTGGGACATGAACTGCGGTCAGGTATATGGGAGTCCAACAACGTAACTGCTATGCCAGCTACAGGTCCCAATAAATAAATTCTTATTTATAGGTGCAGTGGTTTATGCGATGATGACAAAGCTGCAATATGATTACTGCAGAGTGGCCTACCATAACACAATTGTTTCGTGGTAGCCTAGCCCATATGCCAAATTGTTGTGGCCTACAGTATTAGTTGTATTCATAATATATAAATGCTGTTAGTTTTATTTTAAAAACCACTTACCTCTGGTGATATGCGGGTGTGCAGTCTGTCCAGTCCTGAAGGAGGGAGAGAGGGGAGGAGAGGCATACTGTATGGAAATGAATTTGAAAGCAAATTAAAACATATGAATAGGGACCAGCAAACGGCATAATGGTTACGTCGCTGGACTCACACATGGCCAACTGCAGCTCAAGCCCCAGATCCAGAGGCTTGAAACTCACACCAGCCCATGTGCATACATATCCAAAATCCCCAGGGAGAACGGAGAAGGGATTGCAGCATGGCCATCTCTCCTCGGGGGGTGGGGGTGGGGGGTGCGCTTTCTTGCTTTCTGTCTCTTTGTCTCTGTCTGTCTCTCCAGCGAGCGCATGTACCCTATAGCAAAAGCATCTCTCTAAAAAAAAAAAAAAAACACAGTCAGAAGCAAAATATATATGTATAAAACAGTAAGAAAACTACCCCATCACTACAAGTAACTGTTCTAAGCAGATGCTAATGGCACTAGCTCACCACAGTAACAGCAGGGGGCAGACGCTCAGTATGGACCGCAGGCACCTTCCTGAGTCAGGAGCCTCTTTACCTGTGTTCATGTTCCTCTCAGTGTTTTCAGTGTCATAAACCTCCCAAATCTTCCCCCCGCCCCCAGGCTCCCCCCCATATATATATTTAATTTGCCAGAGGGCACTTGAGCTCACTGGAGACAGACAGAAAGAGAAGGTGAGAAGCACCCCCCATGAGGGATGACACTGTCACAATCCTTTCTCTTCCATTTCTCCTCCTTTTAGGATTTTGAGAACGCACACATGCATACCCGGCCTGTTTCTCAAGCCACCAGGTCCTGGACTCAAACCACGCTGTAGGCCACATGGTATCCAGCTGCCATAGTCACCAGGCCAATAGCTGGCCTGGGGGTTAAGGTGCTGAATCCTACATGGCCAACTCTGTGGTTCAAGTCCCAGACCTGGCAACTTCAAAAATATGCCAGGCGTGTGTGCATGCATGCCCAAAATCCTGAGAGAAAAAAGAAGGGGCTGCTGCGTAGCCATCCCCCAGGGGTGATTTCTTACTTTCCTTCTCTCTCTCCAGTGAATGAAGGCACACACTCCATAGCAAAAAAACTAAAAATAAAACCAAAAAAAAAGTAACGACAATGTCTCTTCCACGAGTTGTTGAATACACTAACCTGTGAAAACGCTTTGGGGATGTATGTGTGGGGGTCCGTGAACACTGGCTTGAGAAACACAGCAGGCATGTGTGTGCCTAAAATCCTGAAATGGAGAAGGGGTTACAGTGTGGCCATCCCCCGTGGGGAGTCCCTTCTCCATTTCCCTCTTTCTCTGACTTTCAGAGTGCACAAGCCCTCTGCCAAGATTTTTTAAAAAGAAAGGAAACCTTCTCTTTGAGCCAGTCAAGTATAATTTCTGCTAAAACAGAAACTCCCAGTTCGACCTGCTGTACAACCTGCGTCAGCACTTCCTTACCTGCAGTTTTGCTTTCAACAGTCTTGGCTACCTGCAGTCAATGGGGTCTGAAATATTAGATAGAAAATTCCAGAAACAACTCATGTTACAAACCACGTGCCCTTCTGAGTAGCATGAAGTCTGTGTCATCTCACTCCATCCTGCCTGGACGTCATCTCTCTGTCCAGGGTAGGTACACATGTAGTTTTCTCAGCTATCAGATCGAAAAAGCCCGTATAGTTTGGTCCTATGCAGGGCTTTGACACCCACTGGCAAGAGGACATCAGAGGGCCAGCAGATGGTGTTGTGGTTACGTTGCTGGCCTCCCACATGGCTGATCATGGTTTGGGTCCCAGACCTGGTAGCTTGAAACTCACACTGAGCGTGTGTGTGTGTGCGTGCCCAAGATCCCAAGAGGAAAATGGAGAAGGGATTGCAGCCTGGCCATCCCCCCAGAGAGTGGTTTCTCACTTTCTCTCTCACTGTCTGTCTATCTCTCCCATGAGTACAAATACCCTAGAGCAAAAACCTCTTAGGAAAAACAAGAGAGGCCAACCACACCCAGAAGATAAACCCTTTCTCCCAGGCAGACTTGGGTCATATGGGTGTTCTCACTGCAGTCCAAAAAAACCCAACATGCAAACCACCTTGTTATTTTATTAGAAGCATATTTACATTCTTGCAGTTAACTGCAGAGAGCAGTTTACAAAAGTTCTGTATAAAGTTTGGAAACTACATAAAAATAATTTCTATTCTTCGTAAAGGGAAAATATAAGTTAGTTATATTTACTCTGCTAAAAATGGACCGAAAGGGAGAAACAGTTGCATCTGTCCCTTAGCCAGAAAACATAAGCACGGAGCACGAGGAAGACTGTGGGCCTCATCAGGGATGGGCACTGCCGATCACAGGCAGGGAGACCAGGCCAGACCCATCCACAAAGGCACAGAGGAGCTGCTAGGGAGCTGAGCAAGGAATCGGCAACACTTGGAGGACAAGGACGATGTAAATCACAGGTCAAACAAGGGAACGGAGACTTCTGCCTGAGCCATGAGACTGGCATTTCACCGCATGCCCTGCAGCCTGGGCTGTAAAGGAAGTGACCGTAAACAGAGCCCCCAGCCAGTCCTGCCAGCCCGTTGCCAGTGCTGCTACACGGGGAGCTGGGTCTATGCTCTGCAGCTGCTGTCACTGCTCGTGTTCACAGCGCCTGTGCACCGGAGGGACTAAAGGGACAGCTGTCTAGCCTGAAAAGCTCCCACCTGGGTCAGACTCTGAAGCGGGGAACCGCAGTGCATGGACCTGAGAGAAGCACTGCCTTCCCATGGCCCCCCAAGCATCTCCACTGCACAGTTGAGATGTGGGAACCCCAAGTCCCCTTTTCCTGTTGAGTGGCTGCTTTCTTCCCCAGCATTCAGTTATCCAGTGCCAAGAAATCTGCCAAGGAATCACTTGAGAAGGATAAAGTCTCGAACCTGAGCCTCTCGGAGTGAAGGAGGAGAAAGTCCTCCCAGGGTGTCTTGGCCACTCTGTCACCAGCAGGGGAGTGGCCAGACTCTGTGCCCACGAGGTACTCTGACGCCGTCCTCGCTGTTTGTAGAGCAGATGTGCTCCTGAAGAAGCCATCCACGTCATATCTGTCTCTGGGAACAGCTAGACATCGCAGTGAGAAAGGTTCTTCGTAATGAACTGCATGAGGGTTCCAGCATCTGCTGTCATGAGGTTGCACACACTCTGCAGCCTGCGGGGATCAGAACCCGTCCGGGAGTCCATCCATGAGGCACCTGTGCTGCTGCCGGGCCAGGGGCAGGAAGCAACCCCTCCCCAGGCCTGTTCTTCCTGAAGAGAAGTCCCAGCGCCTGCCCTGGCCACCAGCCTCAGTCTGGAAAGTAGGGCAGCCCTGGTGGGGAGCAGCTCGCAGGGTGGAGGTTGGCAGCTCCCCGTGCCGCTGCACGTGAGGCGGGAGCAGGCTGAGCTGTGGAAGTCCAGTGCGGGGAGGAACGTGTCCCTGAACGCAGATCCCAGTGGGGGCAGGAGCAGCCAGGCAGCACGGCCCGCGCCTCTCCTGCCTCTGCTGCCAGCTGCAGCCGGTTCCACCCAACTGTTCCCGCCACTCGGGCACAGGCTCAGGCAGCAAGTGGCTTCCCCCCAACCTGGGAACGAGAGGCCAGGGCGGGGCATGCCTGCCCGGGTCATGCCAGGGGTCAAGTCTGTGCGTGTGCAGGCAGCAGGGCACAAGATGGCACCAGACACCGAGACCAGCAGAGAACATTTCTGGCTTCCCCCTTCTCTCATCCTCTCCCTCATATACACCTGGCCTTGTCTTACATGGAAAGCAAACTGGGGAACCAAGGAGGACATCCTGAGCGGCTGGCTGGAGGGCTAGGGTCCCTGGGAAACTGGAATGACTAGAAGGGCCTTGTTCTCATCGGACGCCACAGGGAGTGGCTGAGAACCACCTAGAATCAGGCACCAGGAGCCTCAGTGACCACGAAACAGGGGCTTTGGCAAGGGGAGGGACCTTGTGGTCCTCCTGGACCCTGACCCACCAACGACTCAGATCACTTACAGCTTGGAGCAATCTGGGTTCACTGGGGACAACGGTCAGACCTGGCGGTGCACAGGGTAGGTGGGTCGACACAGCAGGGCATCTGTGGGCACAGCTGGGGGGAAGGGGGCTGGATTCAAGCTGGCACAGAAGCAGTGGGGGCCTGAGTCCTTGTTCATCGAGAATGGGGGCCCCAGAGGCCCACCACGCTGCCAGCCGTGGCCCGGGGCGTGGTTAGGAGTCATCCGTGGAGCTGTAGGGGAAGAACTTGGTGGCCTTGCTTGGGGTGGTGGGGTTTGGGCACTCCGCTTCCTCGCTCAGTTTGAAGAACATTTCCTGCTCCCGCTTCTTCTGGTTCAGATCCTCTTCCAGAGCCTGGGAGAGGAAGCAGATGGTGTCTGGTGGGGTCCCAAGGGCCTGAGTCTCCCAACCACAGGACCCCACCTAGGTGGCCTTCTCCAGAGACTCCCCCAGGTCCAGTGCCTGCACTAGGTTGCCCCTCTTTCTCTCCCCTAGACGGTAAATCCTACCTCCTTCCCACCACACCAGTTCCAGCCCACGGGTCACCCATCTGGGACCTCTGTTCTACCTGTCTACTGTTTTTAAAAACCTAGGCATTTCCTGTGGGTGGTTTGGAGAAATGTCAATGGAGAAGGGGTGGGAAGGTGCCCAGCTAACCACCTGGCAGCCAGGTAGCCACAGATCAACAGAAGCCCAAGGTCGAAGACGGAGGAGTTAACAGCAGGGGAGCAAAGTCGTTCTTACATGGTGGTTCCAAAACAGAGCACTGTCCCAGTGACAGCACACAGGGCGTTCTTAGCACATGTGTGCTCCCTCACCTCAAGGTTCTGATTCCGAAGACTGCGTATTATAAAAGTTGTCAGCTAAATCCAGGGGGAGCTCTTTCTAGTAAACAAGCACTGTGAAAGCACCCCTTTCGGAATACATGGGTTTATCCAGTTCACTAGATCCTGCCAGAAAGATTTCTTAAGGGCTCTCCAATAATACTAATTCGATTAAGAAAGCAGGAGGTGGGACCAGCAGATGGCGCAGCAGTTACGTCGCTGAACTCTCATGTAGTCAACCGCAGCTCGAGTCCTGGACCCAGCAACTTAAAACTCATGCTGGGCACCTGTGCATGTGTGCCCAAAATCTCAAGAGAATAGAGGAGAAGGGATTGAGGCATGGCCATCCCTCCTGGGGGATAATGTCTCACTTTCTGTCTCTCTGTCTTTCTGATGAGCACACATGCCCTGTAGGAAAAAAATCTCTCAAAAAAAAAGAAAAAGAAAAAAAGCAGTGGGCCAGCAGGTAGTGTGGTGGCTAAGATGCTGGACCCCCACATGGCTGATTGTGGTTCAAGTCCAACACCAGGAGGCTTGCTTCTCACTTTCCCCTTTTCTCTGTCTCTCTGGTCAAATGAGAAAAATAAAATAATAGTAAATATGCTGGTTAAATAATAATTATTTAAAAAAAAAAAAAAAGGAAAAAGGAAGGAAGGAAGTGGGCCAGGGGCGGAGCGGCAGTAAAGGCGGTTGAATACCACATGGCTGACTGTGTAGTTCAAGTCCTGGATCCATCGGCTTAAAGAACAGGCCTGCGTGTGAGTGTGCGCATGTCCAAAACCTCGAGAGGAGAGTGGAGCAGAAGGGGCTGTGGTATGGCACCCCCCACCCCCCGGGGTGATTTCTCACTACCCCTCTCTTCTCTCTGTGCGTGCTCTCTCTGGGAGGTACGTGCACCCTAGAACAAACTTGAAAAATAAATGTGCAGTGGAGAAACATGGTTCAACAGTCAGGGAAGCCCCAGTTCCTGGGTTTTTAAAAGAAACTGGAAATCCAACTTTCCTTTTTTAATTTTTGCTATGGGGGCACGTGCTCATCAGAGAGAGAGAGGGGAAGTGGGAAAGCACCCCCGACGGGGATGGTAAGGCCGTGGTGGGGATGGTAGCACTGTAACCCCTTCTCCATTCTCCCCTTGGGATTTTGGGCACAGTGTGTTTTTCAAGGGACTTAAACTGACCACTCAGCCATGTGGGATCCAGTTGCCTTGACCACCACCATGGGCTGGCTTCCTTAAGGCCACTTTCTGCGTTAATGAACAAGCAACACCTTACTGAGGCTCTCCAGATGTTTGGTACTTGCTTGAAAACAATCATTCTTAATTCTTTTTTTTAAAGAGAGAATTTTGCTGTAGGGCATGTGCACTTGCCAGAAAGACAGAAAGTGAGAAATCACGCCAAGACAGGATGGACATACCACAACCCCTTCTCCTCCATTCTCCTCTCAGGATTTTGGGCTTGCATGCACATGTGCCCAGCAGGTATTTCAAGCCGCCAGGTCTGGGACTTAAACCGCAGTTGACTTTGTGGGAGTCCAGCAACATAACCATTATGCCATCTGCTGGTCCCAACTCTGAACTACTCTAAAAACCCTCTGCAATGGGGCCAGCAGGCGGTGGCCCCTCACCACCACCCCTACAGTGTTCCCCTACCCTGCTCCTCTCCTCCACTGGAAGCTCAGCTCCCCGAGGGTGAAGGCGCAGGCACGCCTGCCTGCGTGGCCCACAGAACAGCTCCAGCCTGAGCTGTGAGCACTGGGCACGGCTGAGAAGCGGCTGCTGCAAAAGTACACAAGTGTGTCAACAAATGAACGAACGACAGCAGTGCCACGTGTTCCTCCCACGCCGGGGCAGGGACGGAGAGCTGCTGGAGCCCACAGGAGGCACGTGGCCACGGGGGAGGTCTGGGAACTGAAGAACTATCTGCTGTGAAGACACAGAAGTTGGCTGAGCAAAAGCTGGTGGGTAGAGAATCCTGGCAAGGGGCATAGCCTGGGCGAAGGCCCAGCAGGGAAGGAGGGAAGCCATATGGTCTGGAGATCTATTTGGGTACTGAAACCTGTTCAGAGCTCGAGTGGCACGTGAGACTCAGGAGACAAGGCCAAGGAAGTGGTTCTCAAAGTGTGGTCCGTGGACCTCTCGGGGGCCCAACATCATTTTGCTGGGTGATGGGGGAGGGTTCAAGGAGGTAGGCGCTATTTTCCTAACAATACTAAGGCTTTTTTGGTTTGTTTTTGCTACTGTACGCTCACCAGAGAGGGAGAAAGTGAGAAATCAACCCCCAGGAGGATGGCCACACTGCAATCCGCTCTCCATTCTCTTCTCAGGATTTCGAGCATGTGTGCACGTGTGGCCAGAATGCTTTCCAACCCCCAGGTCTAAGACTTGAACCATGTAGCTGGCCATGTGGGATCCAGTCTCCTAGGCATCAAGCCTCTGGCTGGTCCAGAGGAGATGTTCTCGTGCCACTCTGTTTGACATACGAGCTCAACTCACTGCTTCTGTAGGGAACATAATTTTTTTTTCTACAATTATTTTATTTTATTCATTGTCATTATTTTGTTTTCCTTTTTATTTTTTTTTTAATTGATCAGAGAGAGACAGAGACAAAGAGGGAAAGTGAGAAAGCAAGCTATCAAGTCCGGGACTCGAACTGCAGTCAGCCATATGGGAGTGCAGCTGGCTTAACCACTATGCCACCTGCTGGCCCTGGAAACATCATGTTCAATTGAAAAAATGATTGATAAATGTTTAGTAAACATTTTCTTGGAAATGAACAAAAGCAGGGGCCAGCAGGTGGCACGGTGGTTAACGTGCTGGATTCCCACATGGCCGACTACAGTTCAAGTCCCAGACCCAGCAGCACACGTGTGTGTGTCCCTAAACTCCCAAGAGGAGAATGAAGGGGGAAGGGACCGGGACGTGGCTGTCCCCCAGGCGGTGATTCCTCACTTTCCCTCTCTCTCTCCAGTGAGCACACGTACCCTCTGACAAAACCTACAAACTAAAACTAAAACAAAAGCAGTGAGTCACTTCAAAGAAAATGACTACCCATACCTATTCCCAAGGACAAAATTTGAGAATTCGAACAAAAATGAGAATATGGAGAAAACCGTGTCCATCATCCTGAGCTCGATAGCATCGCGATATTTAGAGATTTTTCTGATGAGATCGGCAGTGATATTAATAGATGATTTTACTTTTAATACTATATACTGAGAAGTGTAACATTTGGAAGCTCTGTGTAAACACGTGAATGTATGCTTTCCGAATGATGGGGGAGTGAGGGACAAGCCTGTGCGGAGGTACAGTTTCACTCAACATGCAAGACAGGGACAGACCCGTGCAGAGGAAGCCAGAGCTTGCCTGGCCAGCCTAGGCGCAAGAACCAGTCCCTTCGGCTTAAAAACACGCCATGGAGGGGCCAGCAGGTGGTGTGTTGGTTGAGGGTGCTGGACTCCCACATGGTTGACCGCAGCTCAAGTCCCGGATTTGGCAACTTGCTTTCTCACTTTCCTTCTCTCTCTTTCTCACCATCTCACTTGGGTCAAATTAAATAAAAATAAATAAATAAAGTTAAAATTTAATTAATTAATTAAAAACATGCCATGTGCACGTGCCCAAGATCCTGACGAGATGGAGAAATGGTGGAAAAAAGGATTGCAGCATGACTGGCCCCGTTGAGAGGAGCTTTCTCTCCCCCTCACATACTTGCTTCTGCTCTCTGGCATGACGAAAGAAAAAGAGGCAGACAGACCAGTGTATTGTACGGTCATGGGACTGGGAAGCTCAGTCATAACGGTAGAGCTTCTACACTATACCTGGCCTTTAAAGAGACTCCTACGTGGGCCAGCAGGCGCTAGACTCCCACATGGCCAACTATGGTTGAGCCCCAGACCTGACTGCTTTCTCGCCGCCCTCCCCACCCTTCGCACCCATCTCCTTCTGATCAAATTAAATAATAATAAAACAATTCTCTAAAAAAAGAAAGAAAGAAACAAGTACTTGTTGAGTTTTGGAGTATTATCAAAGAAGAATATCCATAATTATCTGAAAAGGCTATTCAAATATTCTTTTCCAAATATCTGTGTGAAGTCAGATTTTCTTCATATATCAACCAAAATAGCAGATCATAACACACTGAATGCCAAAAAGTAATATGAAAACCGTCTTCTTGTAAATGGACATTAAAAGGTTCCCGAATGTGGGACCAGCAGATGGCATAGTGGTTATGTCACTGGACTCCCACACAGTTGACAGCAGATTAAGTCCTGAACCCTGCAGTTTAAAACTCATGCCAGCTATATGTGCATGCATGCCCCAATCCTGAGAGAATGGAGGAGAAGAGATTGCAGCATGGCCATACCCCACCTCCAGGGGGGTGGTTCTTGCTTTCTGTCTCTCTCTCAAGTGAGGGCATACACCCTATAGCAAAAATCTCTCTTAAAAAATAAATTTGCCAAATGTAAGATAATGCCAATCTTAAATTTAGTTTGACAAGAATATACTCATTTTTAAAAAATCAAAATGTAGGGACCAGCAGTTAGCATAATGGCTATGTCGCTGGACTACCACGTAGTCGACCACGGTTCACATCCCGGACCTGGTGGCTTAAAGCTCACACCAGGCTGGGAACCAGCAGTTAGCGTAATGGCTATGTCACTTTTTTTTAACTAATTATATTTCCTCTTTAAAAAAAACATAGGTACTCATTTTTAATTTGTGGGTTTAATTTACTACTGAATGTTGTGGATTAGTAAATACTCTAAATAATAGAAATCCTACATAGAGAAGATTTTATAAGAAAAATGAATGCACTGAAAATGGTTAAGTGGGAACCAGCAGTTAGCGTAATGGTTATGTCACTGGACTCCCACGTAGTCGACCGCGGTTCGTGTCCCGGACCCGGTGGCTTAAAACTCACGTGTGTGTGTGCGTGCCCAAGATCCTGAGAGGAGAATAGAGGAGAAGGGATTGCAGCGTGACCATCCCCTCTGGGAGGGGGGGTGATTTCTCGCTTTCTATCTCGCTGTCTCTCTCTGTCTGGTGAGCACACGTGCCCTATAGCAAAAACCTCTTCAAAAAAAAAAATCAAAATGTATTATTTATGTAAATATGTAATAAATATTATTGCTACTTGAAGGTAATTAGTAAATATTTTTAAAGTCCTCAGCTAAAACTATTTAAAATTATTTACTTAATTTTATTTATTATTATTATTATTATTCAGTTTGACCAAAGAGAAACAGGTTGAGAAAGAGAGGGAAAGTGATAGTGAGAAAGAAAGTTACCAGGTCCTGGACTCAAACCGTGGTTGGGCATGTGGGAGTCCAGTGCCTTAAACACTATGCCAGCTGCTGGTCCCTCAGCTAAAATTTCTAAAGCATTAAATATCCATAAAATTATGCTGGATGTGTGAACATGCATGCCCACATCCATGGAGAAGAGACGGTGGTGTGGCCATCGCCCTGGAAGGCAGTTTCTCACTCTCCTCCTGTCTCTCTCCCGCGAGCTGTGTGAGCCTTAGAGCAAACTAAAAAAGAGGTTTATTCACTTATTTTTCCATGAGCAAGAGAGATAAAGAGACAGAGAACGCATCCCCAGTAGAGTCCTCATGCCACGATCCACCCCGACACCAGCCAGCTCCAGAACATGGGCACACGTACGTTCCCGGAGTGCACATTCCTGGCACGCACAGGGAGGTCCCAGGACATGAACAGGCCCTCCTGTGTGGTCCGCCATGGTGCAGTGCTGCGTGATCACTGCATCCCCGCTGGCCCCTCTGAGGTTCTTGAGAACTTTTATAGTGTAAACAAGTGCAAAAACCCCAAAGTTTGAGAACCATGGGGCCGGGAGGTTAGCATGGTCAGGGCACCAGAGGACTATGGGAAATGGTACTTTGAAGGGGGGGGGGTTCATAAGAGCAGGTGAAAGGAGCCCAGCTAGAAGGCAGTTTGGGTGAACCAGGTGGGAAGCGAGAAGGCCTAACTGGGAGAAGGGGAACACGGAGCAGGGCGGAGAGCTAAGTGACTGATGAGAGCTGGCCAGAGGGTGGGGAGAGCAGAGAGGCCTGTGGGTCGGCCGCCTGAGGTGCCACTCACGGGCCTGGAGGGCAGGACAATGGGCTGGGGGGAAGAAGGTGAGTTGTATTTGGGACACAAGATCTGAGTGGAAGAACTCGGGAGACAGTTTAAATGTGCGGAACAGGAGGGTGGTCTGCGTGGGAGGCTGAGGTCGTGGGGGCATGGAGGGCGTGGATGGAGCCTTGGGAACAAGCGAGCTCAGGCAGCGAGTGTGTTCAGATGAGATGGAGGGCAGAGAACCGTGTTCTGGGGTCACAAAGCAGTAAGGCTGCAGAGCGGCCAGTGATGGAGAAGAGACCCAGAATGGGCCCAGGAGGACAAGACGGGATGCAGGAGTGACCACCAGTGCTGGCCGCCACCAAGAGGTCAAGTGGAACAGGTCCTACCTACGGGGTGGGGCCACCAGCGTGCCATTTACTGACTGCAGGAGCAGCAGCAATGGGTTGAGAAACAAATATGCGATGAAGAAAGTGAGACAGGGCGTCTGGGCTTGTCAGATGCTTCGTGAAGATGAGGCAGGGGCAGGTAAAAATGATGCAAAACTAAGACGGGCGTGTTTTCTGAATGTGAAAGGAGGACAGGCTGAATTCTAAGCATGACCCCCGGGATTCACTTGTGTGCGATTCACTCCCCTCATCCGAGTGTGGGCAGAACCTGTGAGTATGCCAGCGGGGTGGGAGGCTAGCCCGCAAACCTGACCTAATGACATGCGTCTTGCAGGACATTTCTCTCCAGCTGGAAGTGTACGAGGACGACGGAGAGGCCGAGAGCATGAGAAGGTCAGGGTGCACACTGGCTATTTGGAGACGGAGGGCGCCACACGACAAGGAATGTGGGTGGCCTCCCGGGCTGGGAGCAGCTCCTGGCTGACACCCAGCAAGGAACAGGGGTGGCGGGTGTACACCCACAGGGACGAGATCCTGCCCAAACCCGGGTGAGTTCAGAAGTGACCCTTCCCCTGAGCCTCCAGATAAAGCCCGGCCAGCCCAACCGACACCTCGACTGCAGCCTCGTCTCATGGCGCTCCGAGCAGAGAAGCCTGTGGAGTCCTCTGACTTCTACAACAGCACCACGAGGTGGTAAGTGGGTGTTGGTTTAAGCTGCCAAGTGGGTGGCATAACAGATTCGGAAAATAACCTACTTAGTGGGATATGGCTTTGCAATAGCTTCTAAGGGAAAACGCCCACTGGCTGGGCTCCTGGCTGGCAGTATAGCTGCCCCTACCCAGGACTGCACCCTCGGCGGGCCTCGCAGTGCAGGAGGCTGTCAGTCTGGGAGAGCCGAACCGGAGGCTGGAACAGCGCAGCAAGGAGGCTGCCTTCCAGAGTGGACGCAGTGGCATGCTCAGCCACACAGGCTAGAAAGCTCTCTCCCTCTCAGGCTGGAGCGCCATTTTATGGGTGCCCCAAGCAAGACTCCACCAAAAAGGGACCGCGGATGTTCCAGGGGATGCCTGCAGCACGGCATGGAGCAGAGCCCTCCACGGAGCCCACCAGCCCAGACGCGGTTACCTTTTTGCGTGGCCGGAGCTTGTCCCGCCATTCCTTCAGGTTCTGGTTATGGCTCTCGTCCAGGGCCTTCAGCTTCTGGGTTTCATGCTCTACCAAGAGGTGGCACTTTTCATTCTGGAACAAATTCCAGGCAGAACAAGTGAGAAAATCAGAAACCCGAGTCTGAGGACTGAGACGCACCTCACGAGGTGGCCACGAGGGCCCTAGACTCCCTCCCCCCACCCCCGACAGCCCGCTGCATACGTACGAAACATGCAGTGTGAACACACGTGAGCCATGCCTGGAGGAACACTCCAGAATAGTAATACTAAGAAAAAACATCTAACAGACACACGAACGGGAAGCTGTCTGCTGATGACGAGTTACATGGTACTGTCTTTGACTTCATTGACCTGCACTGCAGCCACGCTGGAGAAATCATTTTGTACACTGTAAAAATGCACAGTGATTAAATATAAATTTTAAAAGTGTAAAAACTAAATTAAGTTAAATTTTTAAAAAGTTCTTGGGACCAGCAGGTGGTGTCTTGGATAAGGCGCTGGATTCCCACGTGGCCAACCATAGTTCAAGTCCCAGATGCAGCACCTTGAAGCTCATACAAAGCACATTTGTGTGTGTGCCCAAAATCCTGAGAGGAGAATGGAGGAGAAGGGATTATAGCATGGCCATGCCCCCTGGGGGGTGATTCTCCCTTTCCCTCCATCTCTTTCTAGGGAGTGCACACACCCAATGGCAAAAACAAAACCAAAACAAAAACACTGTGTGGTGGGTTTACAGTAATGTAACTTTCTTCTTAGTGCTTTTTTGCATTGTTTGAATTTTTCAAAATGAACACACATCCTTTCAACAAAACAATACAACTGTGAATGAATACAGTGTGCTTTAACCCCACTCTACATAAGCAATCACTACACTTAGAAATGTCTATTTTTGGCCACCTAGGTTGCTTATCTTCACTGCTACAAAGAACCCTGTGTAAACATCTGTACTATGGGCTGAATTGTGTCCCCCCAAAACTCCTGATGCAGCCCTAACCTCCGATGTGACGATATTTGAAGATGGGGCTTTGGGGAGGTGGTGAGGGTGAGGTAAAGTCATAAAGGGCCCTGCGATGGCGAAGGAGGGACACCAGATAGCTTGCTAACTAACACGAGTCGTCTCTTTCTGCCATGAGAGGACCCGGCAACAAAGCAGCCATCTGCAGGCCAGGAGGACAGCCTGTGCCAGAACCCAACCAGGCTGGCTTCCTGAGCTTAGACTTCCAGCCTCCAGAAGTGTGAGAAAATACGTTATTGCTGTTAAAGCCACCATGGCATCTCAGGGCAGCCTGCACGGACTGAGATAAGCCAGATGTGTAAAGTTATTAACAGCTACATCAATCATGCATTTATGTCTGACATCCCCATCACACGCCATGTCATCAGGCGAGATTCGTGGCAAGGGATGAGGGTCACAAACGTGGCTGAGGCTCCTCCCACTTCATTGCTCCCCTCTGAGGTAAGGTATCTATGAAATTTAGAAATTTAGATCTCTCTTGTGGGCAGAAGCGACAAGCTCTTGCTGATGCCCCGCAGGGAATCGACCTTGTTATCAGGAGCTTACAGCGCAGGGGAAGCGCCTTTATTCAGACGCTGTGATCCACTGGGTTAAAGAAGAACTCCTTGGCCACTTCCTTTGGGTTTCAAGGCTCCGGGGTGTGGAAACCTGTGTGTCGGGAAGCACACTGCTGACAGCCCGAGTGCCAGGACGCCAGATGGGTTCTCTCGGTTACCCTCCCAGTCACCTCAGGGGCAGACGGGTGAATCCACAGAGCAGCAAAGTGCAGGGCCCTGCCTCGTGGCTTCCACGTCTGCTTTGCTTCCTTCAGGCATCCCTGCCTTTCCAGAAACTTCCAGATGGGTCCAATAGACTGAGCAACTTCCCAAGGTCCAGGGAGGTCTCTCAGGGAAGACAGTGTCTCACGCCACCACGAGGGGGCTCCACATACACGCTCCCTTAGGGCCTTGGCAAACTAAGGAGCAGAAAACTTGAAGAGAGCATGGATTTCCATAGCAAATGCCGTGGACACCTGGGACACCTCTCCCCAAGACGGGGACGGCCCTTGGTGAGGCCTAACAGCGTACCCACCGCCGGGCCCCAGGGAAGGCACTTTGGCCTCCACGCTCTCATCACGAATCTTCACTCCAACCCTGCACCCCACGCCCACTTCAGGGACGTGGAACTATGGCCTGGGAGGTGACAGGACCTGGCCAAGGCCACGCGGTCCTAGACGGCATGGCAGGACTGGCACCGGTCCACCCCAGTGTGAGCCTGTGGCCCCGGGAGGGCACCTGCAGCTGCTGCAGCTCGCTCATGTTGCTCTCGCACTGCGCCACCATGTCCCGCATCTGGTTCTCATGCTTCTGCTGCTGCTGCAGCCGCTCCGACTTCTGCCGCTTCTCCTCCTGCTGGGAGAACTGCAGGGGGGAGGGGTCTCAGGGGCAGGGCCGGCAGGCTGCGTGGGGAGTCTCGGCCCTGCCCCAGTGTCCAGCACCACCTCTGGCTATGCCTGTTTTAAGTGCCCTGAGCTGAGCCCCAGCCCCTGGCCTCGGAAGAATTCGCAGGCCAGTGGGCACAAGACGCTAACGTGACATATGATAGGGCAGTGCAGGTACCACACGGAATCCTGGGCCCCTGGGGCCACCGACTCCATGTGCCTGAGCCACGCGGGTTACATGCCACTGGGGTCCTGGCGGATGAGAGAGAGGGTTGATCAGGCCTGTAGCCTGGTGGTTAAGGGAGTTGGATCCCACATGGCTGAATGCAGTTTGAATCCCGGCCCCTGTGGCTTGAAAAACACCCCAGGTGCGTGTGCGTGCGTGCCTGTGTGTGTCCCAAATCCCAAAGGGATGGAGAAATGGAGGAGAAGGGATTGAGGCATGACCACACCTCGCTGGGGGATGCTCTCTCCCTGTCCCTCTGGCAAACTAAATAAACTGTTGGGGGGATGGGCTGACCAGCAGAGGAAGCCGTGGGATGAAAACACCAGCGCAAGGAGGCCACATGAAAAGGCATGTGCAGTCACACGCCAAGCCCTCCCCTGCCCCCGGAAGCGAATTCCCCCAGGCCACAAGGTGATGTCTATGTCCCCCCAGGATCCAGAACTGCATCTTTTAAAAACCAATTTGCTACAGGGAGCATGCACTCACGGGAGAGAGACTGAAAGAGAGAGAGGGGAAGTGAGAAGTCACCCCCGGGGTGATGGTCAGGCCGCAATCCCTCCTCCTCCATTCTCGAGGGGTTTTGTGCACACATGCACACACACGCGCAAGTGGCTGGCATGTTTTCAAGCCACCGGTCCAGGACTCGATTCGTGCAGTCAGCCATGTGGAATCCAGCGCCTTAACCACCACATGGCCTGCTGGCCCTGCAGCTTAGGCCCCACACTCCAGCCCGACCCGCCCGCGCACTCCGTCCCTGGGGCCCACCTGCTTGACCTTCTCGCGCTGCTCCGAGGCGCTGCCCGCGCCGCTGATGTGCAGGCTCTTCTTGAACATGGCCATGCGCGTCTTGCCCTCGCTCCTCTGGATCTTGGGCAGCCGCGCCTTCTCCTGCTGCTGCCGCACCTTCAGCTGCTCCACCATGCGCTGGTTGTAGCGTTGCATCTGCTCCCGCTCCTGGGGACACCGCGGGTCAGGGCACCAGCTGCAGGCCAGGTCACACCGGCCGAGCGAGCAGCCCGTGTCGTCTGACTGCCGCCGCCAGATGACTCGCTCTGCTCTCACTTTAAAGTGACAGCTAATGAGGCTCTGGATTCTTCTAACTGCCTTCTCACCTGAGGCTAGGAGACATCTTTAGCCAGTATCTCCAGGCAAAACACACACTACCGGGGATGGGTCATCACTGAGAGCAAGTGTAAATTCCTATCTTACCCAGTCTTGATAAATCTGAGTTTCCCCTCCCCAACACCTATTTGAATGTCAAAACTCAGAATGGGCGGCACCTCCTCCGAGAAACCTCCCTGACGTCCTAGTCTGATGAGGCGCCTTCTTCTGAGCTCCCACGGCCTACGCTGACTTCCAGCACTGCCCGTAGATGAGGAGCTGGATGACCCATGGCCCTTGTGCCTCCAGATCTCGGCCAATGGTCACGGTCCCCACAACGGGGACTGAACTGAGACAGTTATCACAGAAGGAGAGGAGCCCTGGCCACAGAGCAGGCCCTCGCCAGGGCTGGGGCCTAAACAATGACCCTGGAGGCATGCGTGGAAAAGAGAGGGAGTATGAGGAAAGGGAAGAAAGTCAGGAAGGAAGGAAAGAAGGAAGAGGAAGCGGCGTGGGAGAGACCTGGGGTGGTGTCAGAGGGAGTGCTGGGCCCCCTGCTTCCTGGCACGGTGTCCCACTGCTGGTCCTAGGCCTGAAACAGGGTCCCTGTAGAACCTCCCGCACCCCGCGTGGCACGTGGGATCCTCCCCGGGGCTGTCACCCACGGCCTCCCTGCTCTCCAGGCATCCCCAGGAGGCCCTGCCGCGCCGGCCTCCGGCTCTCTGGGCATCCCCGGGAGGCCCCGCCGCGCCGGCCTCACCTTCTCGTGCTTGCGCAGCAGCTCGTGCCGCTGCAGGAAGTACTGGTCCTTGAGCTGCTGCTTGACCAGCTGGTGCCGCTCCTGCAGCTGGTGCTCCTCCATCTCCCACAGGGCCGCCTCCCGGTCTGCGGGGACACGCGCCCACCCATGAGGCTGGCGGCCAGAGCCCTGAGGGGCTCCTCCCCTTCCCCTGTAGAGGCCCCCCTCTCAGGGCAGCTGAGAGCTAAGCCGCTGAGCTCGCACGGGCTGACATGCGCGTCCTAGGCACTTCCCGAAAGCCCAAGGGCGTTCGCGGTCAAGAGCCAGGACACCAGACTAGGCTGGAAGCTGGCTGCATCCCTGGGACCCACAATGGATAAAAAAGTCTCCCAGCCTCCTCAGCTCTGCCAAATGGGCCCACCTGTACCACGGCAGGAGGAGACATCCCTGGGGACAGTCTAAGTGCCGTCCACACCACACCTTGCTTTCCTAAAGGGCAGTGGGAGGCTCCGCGAGACACCGGGAAGACAGGACGGCCTCTTGTACTGTTCCCTCCTTTGCAAAATGGGTGATGGGGCCAGCCAGCGGCATGGAGGTTAAGGTGTCTGGGGCCAGCAGGTGGCATAGCGGTTATGTCACTGGACTCCCACATGGCCATTCACAGTTCGAGTCCCAGACTCAGTGGCTTGAAACATGTCAGGCATGTGTGCGTGTGTGCCCAAGGTCCCAGGAGGAGAATAGAGGAGAAGGGACTGTGGCATGGCTGTCCTCCCCGTGGGGTGATTTCTCACTTTCCCTCTCATTGTCTCTCTCTTTCTCTCTGGTGAGTGTATGTGCCCCAAGACAAAAACCTCTACAAAACAAAACAAAACAAAGAGGTGACTGGATTCCACACGGCCCACTATACGGTTCACGTCCAGGGTCTGGAGGCTGGGGATAAACACGTTGGGCACAAGTGCTTGCACACCCAGAATCCCTAGAGGGGAGTGGAGGAGAGGGGCCTGCGGCGTGGCCATCCCTCTCGGGGACACTCTGATGCTTTCTGACTTTCTTTCTCTCTCTCTCCAGCAAGTGTATGTGCTCTTCTGATGCTTTCTGACTTTCTTTCTCTCTCTCCAGCAAGCGTATGTGCTCTACGGCACTTTTTTTTTTTTTTAACAAATAGGAGACCCTCCTTGTCCCCTGTGTGTCCCACGTAGACAATGTCGACACATTGATTGGTATCCGACGTTTTAGCCTTGGAAGCCTAACAACCGCCCATGTACAAAGCAACAGGGCAGGAGAGCTGGCATCGGGCAGCCAAGTTCACGCCCTTCGAGACACAGAGGGGCCAGGGCCAGGCTCGGTGCACTGCCAATGTCTGGTTTACCTCCCTGCATTCCTGTCCTGTAAAATATGGCATCTACGGGACCAGCAGGTGGCGTGGTGGCCAAGGGCGCTGGACTCCCACATGGCCGATTGCGGTTCTAGTTCTGGACCTGGTGCTTGCTTTCTCAATTTTGCTTTCTATCTCTCTCACTCTGTCCCTCCCTGGTCAAATTAAAATAAACAAAGTTAAATAATAATTTAAAAATAAATAAAACATACGTTGTTACACAAGAAAGTTCAAACTGGGGGGGCAGGTGGTGGCACAATGGTAAACGCCACATACTAGACCGACCCTCGGGGAAGGTTCCAGGTGTGTATTCGGAGACCGGACAAAGTCCTCTGGGCAAGCTGTGCCCACAATCGGGGCTGGCGGAGGCTGGGCTGGACTGTGGCACTGAGGCTCTGTTAGGGGGTACTTTCTCTTGATCGTGGAAGAAATAAATACACACACTTTTTAAAAATCAAAGAAAAAAGAACATCTCATATTGCAGGCCTTTCGGCGAGCAGAGCCTGCCACTCTGCATACCTGACTCTCCACCCAGCACCTGCTGGCCACAGGCAGGCTAAGCCCGGGACTACGCAGGGGCTCCCCGTCTGAGCTCCCCAGGCTGAGGGACATTACCTACGTATGTAAGCCCCCCTCTCAAATCCCCTTTGTCCCCAAGAGTTCCCTGCCCTCTTCCCCTCCTGGGGGGTGGCCTATACCAGAGTCCTTAGAGGGTCCCAGGTCAGAGGGACTTTCCCAGAATGCAAACCTGTCAAATGCCACCCTAATGAAGGTCGCGGTGTGCTTCTGCCACCTGTGCCACGTCCTTTTCCCTGCCCAGCCCTGAAATCCCATAACCACTAGAGCACCAAGGTGGTGGAGAGAATGGCTTCTCACTGCACCTGCATCCGAGGCCCAGCTCTGTCGCTGTTCGCTGGGCAACCTCTGCACTATGGTCTGAATGTCTGTGTCCCCTCAGTGTGAATGTTGAAATCTTATCTGGGACCAGCAGTTGGCATAATGGCTATGTCGTCGGACTCCCATATAGCCAACTGCGGTTCAAGTCCCAGTCCAGGCTTACACTCACGCCGGGCGTGTGTGCGTGCAAGTCTAAGATCCCGAGAGGAGAAAGGAGAAGAAGGGATTGCGGTGTGGCCATCCCCCC